CTGTGGCAGATGGAGCTTGAGGTGGCTCCAGACTTCCTGTGATGTTTGTGCCCTACCCAATTTTTTTCCTTTGAACGTGGATAGGACCTAACTTGCTTCTACTCAACTAAACAAAGGTCCAAAACCAATTGATCTTTCATTAATAAAAAAGTGAATCTACCAACAACCTGAGGCAGTTCAGAAGCCATAGCTTCAACAATTGAGCCTCCAGGTAAAAACACAAGCTGCTCACATCTTGAACAGGACTGATCTAGGCTGTATCTGAAGTTCTGACACAGAAAACTGCAAGACAATGTGTGTTGCTTTTAGCTGCTCAGTTTGCAGTAACTTGTTATGGAGCAACAGAAAATAAGTAATACCCAAAATCCCCATGGAACCAGGGGCATCACGCGAGGAAACAATCAAGACAGTGATAATTCAAAATAGCAATTATGGAGTACTTAGTATATGCTAGAAACTGTACTAAAATTTTGCATCGTCCTGGTTTATAACCTACAACAGTAAATTGCATTAATTGGCCATTGTTCAAAGTTCTCCTCTTGAAGTAAGTGGGCAGGACATTCATGTTAGCAGTAAGCTCAGGGAAACAACTCTCCTGAAAGAACGTGATTTCTGCTTTAGATATCCCAAAGTGTATGGATGCTTAATCAAGGACTGTCTTCCTTTAGTTATTGCTAGCTGGATTTCATCAAGTACCAAGGAGTCTACTAAATTTTATTCATCCAGCAGTGAAGAATGAGCCTCTACACATTTCAGGATGCATCTCCTGTTATATTTTCTGTGAAATGACTTTTCTAAAGGGAAAGGAAAAAATACTAACACACTTTTTCTTACACAAAGAAGTTTTATTTAAGTGGAAACTATGACGCAGAATGAAAACACTGTCTACCGACACAGCAGCCTTAACTTGAGCCTTCTGTCTTACTTTAAGCGGAAGGCAGAAGGGGCAGAACACAGAGGCTGGCCAAGTGACTCATATGGAAGTATGAAATACAGCAGTGACGACTACCAAAATGCTGAGCTTTCAAAACTCGTATTTTTTGAAAGAAGCATTTCTTAACACCATCATTTGCACTCACCTTCAGATCACTATAAAATAAACTCCAAGATGATCTTAATTTTTAAAGTCCTTCTTCATCTGTTGGCAGCATTCTCACCAAATGGCACAAAAATAATTTTTCTTCAAAAGTTTTGAAGAAATTTAGTCACTAAAAAGAATAACTTACACAGAGAGCACCACTTTACTGAACATCATCAAATTCTAATTATGATGCTTTAACAGGCAAATTGTTAAGGAGGAGCTGATTATTTCAGGCTTTTTAGGGAATGCTTCTAACACTGTAGAATCCTACAAGGATTTTTCTCCTCTAATGGGCAGAGAAAAAAGCACCTTAACACAGGAAAAACTTAAAGACAACTTACAGAAACTTGAAATACAATTACTGATCAAATTGCATGCTTTAGTCACGCAGTATTTTTATAGCTTTTTAAAAGGGGACTCACCAACACATTTAATTTAAAGCATGCAGGAAAAACAATCACTAATTACTACTTTACATTCCACATATGACACAATAACATCTGTGTCAATAGCATCTTCTTTACAAAAGGTTTCACTGTGCCTGCAGAGAGGAGGGCACCAAAGAGTGTCCCCAAAGAGCCACTTCATCTCAGTGCCCTCAGATAAAACCTCAGTTACTGGGAACTGCACATTTTAATCCACATCTTTATTCAAAAGGTTTATTCTGGGGAATTGCTGAGACTAAGACCTCTCAAACTTCAATTTTCTTACTGCAAAACACTGAACTTTTATTGAATTTGAAAACTGGTCAGGACTCACCCCAGAATAAAAAGCTCCGGACTGTCAATACTTAAGAGTAGAAAGCCATTCATTTGTCAAAATATTTCTCTCTCTACCAAGAGGCTAAATGAGTGTCCCCTCTCTCTTCTCTCTGCAGAGGCCTTTTAAAATCAAATTACAGTTGCCAACTAACTAGGATTTATCCTAACGTCATTTACTCCAATATTTATAGCCTAGCGCATGTTGGTCACTGTTTTAGGAACTGGTGATGGACCAATGGATAAAACTCTTGCCAGGTGTGGTGGTGCAGCCAAGCATGGTGACACACTGTAATCCCAGCACTGAGGCAGGAGGATCATTGTGTGCGCTACAGAGCTCAAGGTCAGCCTGAACTACACAGTGAGATCCTGTCTCCAAAACAAAAACAAAAAACAAAAAAAAAAAAAAACCACCAAAAAACAAAAACTCTCACTCTTGATACTCTGAACAACAATTATTTCCAGGGAATGATGATAACAAGGTGTCAGCTAGGGAGAAAACAGCAGTCAACATCAGGAGCTTGGCTGTTTCCAGACCACTGCTTCCCACTGCATTACTGGTCTTGTTTAGTCCGATTTTAGGAAATGAAGGTAGTTTATTCATGACGTTAGCTTTCTTATGGGCAGAAGCAGCCCCTTTCTCTTTAGAGAGATTGCTCCCAGGCAGTTAAAATGAAGTTAGAATAAATGTCACCCCATATGCACAGGCTATAACCACCTCTGGAATACATTTAAAATAATGTATTTCCTGAGACCAGTCCATAGCTTTAAAAAACATTTACAAAGGGGCTTGTAACTGCCCAAAGTTCAGAAATCTCTATACTGGAGGTTTCTGTTTGAACTAGTGGTAAAATTAAAAGTGTGCTGGACAATTGCTTTCAGAATATTAAAAAAAAAAAAAAACAAACAAACGAGAGAGAGAGAGAATTTGTTCCACTCCCAACTGCCACACTGAGTCTGGTTCAGCAGTCATCTTGCTAGAGAGACCTGAGCCAGACAAAAAGTCAGTGACCCTGCAGTGGTTGTTTACACTCTATGTGTGCCTTTTAAAAAGCAATTTGTGCTTATAAAAGCACTCCTCTTGGCCTTGGAAACTGGTTCTCAACAGTAGTCCTCCAAGTCAACAACTCAGGATAGAAGAATTAACTTTCCAGGCACAGTGCAGCACCAGACAGCTATACCAGCCTTCTGGAGTCAAACTGTTATTCAGCAGCAGCTCCAGGTCCACACAGGCTTGTTTCTCCCTGCCCCTTAGAAGGGAAGGGGCAGAAGGCAACTGAGCCCTTTCACTGTTCAAAATCACTATGTTAACCATTTTGTGTAAACTTCAAGTGTAGGATCTGTGGCTGAAGAACCTTAAGAAGATAATCTGCCCCTAGGAAAATTTGTAATTAGATTCTCAAAATCAGCAGCTATGAAAAGTAGCGGGGAAATACATCTCCTAAGAACAGAGCATTTGCTAGTTTTCTGGTAGGGTCTTCACCATAGTTACTTTCTCCTCTTAGTGCTGTGTATGTCTCGACTGCCTTTTACTGGACTCTGCAGTCCTCCAATACTGGCCTTTCCTATTTCATGTTCACAAGGCCAGTGCCCAGTGAGAAGCCTGGGTTCCTGCAACCACAATTGGAATTCCCAGTGGGAATGGGAAAACGAACCAAAGCAGAGGCCAAGGACCCCAACTATACAAATCTGATGGATTACACATAGTAGGGCTTAAAGAGTTAGCCGTCTCCTTGAATAAAAGACCCATTTTCATCACTTCAAAATACAAATTAGGGGAGCCTACAGGGAAGATGAAGCTTTTTGGAAAAAAAAAAATCATACCCTAGAAAAATGTATTTCAAAACTCTTCAAATTTAAAAAAAAAAAAGTTGTGATAGAACATCTCAGATACAGCGATATAAAAATGTAATCAATTATTTAAATTACCACCATTTCTAAGCCACACATATTCTAACAGTAATGTCATCTAAGACAGCGATTTAAAGCTGACTGCATCCTTGACATTTAGGATTAGCTTCCACCTCAGAAACCATCAGAAATAAGATACAAACAAAATCTGCTTTTCTGTATATTCTCAAAGGCAGACAGCAGCTTATATAATCTCTGTTCTTCACACACACAAAAAACTTTATTAGGTAAACAATTCTCCCTAAGGACTGAATGTAAACTTAGATGTTCCTGAGGATTATTCACTTAAGCAATGTGTGAACCTTTTAAGAAAAAAAAAAAAAAAAAAAGGGATGGTCTACAGATTAGTCTTACCTAATTTTTGCTATAAGTTGTGAATATAAGGATATATTTACACTGTTAGAATTAGGAACAGTTTTGAACATATTGTCATTAAGCTTAAAGGCCCACGAAATAATGCTTATATATGTCTTATCCATCCATTTATAGCATTATTTTATAATTCTCCATCAGTGTTGGAGTGATCTTCCCAAATAACCTCAATTCTGACATTGTATAAATTGAAATGCATCTTTATGCTTACAGGTTACTCTTTTTTTTTTTTTTGTACCAGGAATCGAACTCATAACCTTGCACTTACTTGCCAGGCAGGCACTGTGCCGCTGAGCTATATCCCTAGCCTAAAACGAATCTTTAAAAGCTGTGCTGAAATATGAACAATATAGTATACTGTTCTGGCTCTGAGCATATGGCAAGTGTCACTCAGGTGCTCCGCTCACTTTAGGCTAAGTGTTCCTCACTGTAAACTTTGTTGTGTGCTGTTAATATGTGTAAACAAAGTTCTGTTTTGTTTGCCTTGATAGCACCCTGTAGACAGTCTCTGAAATCAGTGACTGAATTAACTTCTGTAAATTCAGATTTTGATTTCCCACTGGGCTCTTTTTCGAAGCTCTCTTTCTTGCACTGAAATCTCTGTGGTGTGAACTGAATATTCTTTAGATTATATCTTATTAACCAAGTTTTCCATCAAAGCAGTGCTCAGGCCTGCTGCCCTTCAGAGCAGAGTGTAACAAATAGTGGTTAGAGGCATTAGCTAAGATGACAACACTGTACGGAGAGCTCTAGTGTATGAGAGCCAAGCACCAGACGGACACCCAGATAAGACACTGCCAAGTGCAGGCTGACCTCTGACTCTAAAAGGCCTATGAATGCTTTTCTTGTCCAAAGTAAAGGCACATGACAGATTCATATTAAATTATATCCTGATATGTTTATTTCACCAAATAAAACAAATCTCCTGAAGAAAGATCTCCTGAAACTCGCTCTCTGCAAGCCCTGGGTCACATCACACGTGGGCACGGTACAAATTGTCTCTGAGGCTCTAACAGGCTCTGCACTGTTCTTAAGAGTTCCACTTTTCATCAGTGTGGACTTCTACATAGATAGTTGCTATATTTTACTTATTTCCATGTGTTTCTTGTAGGAAGTTAAGCTTCATAACATTTTGTATACCATTATGTTCATTAGGAGCTCAATAAGACATGCTCACTTTCACTACCAAAAACCATTTACTGCAAACCAACTGTGAATCCAATGGAGTGCTTTAGTTGAAATGAATCCTGTGTCTTGGAAGTCAGAGACTCAAAGTTCAAGAACAAAATCATCAGCAAGAAGAATTCAGAAGTCTCTGTCGAGCATTCTTCTCTTCATTATTTGCTTTCATTTCACTGTGTATGTTCAAATCTGTCAAAATTGAAAACAATTATTTATGAGAGATGTAGCAGAAACTATCAGTACTGCTCAACTTCTCTGCTAAAAATCCTTCTCATATACTTTGCTGTACCATGTTTTATTTCTTAGCCTCATTTCAAAGCACAGTGAAGTCACGTCAAGGCAGCAATTAAACTGATAAACTCTCAGTCCCTTTTAAAAGAGAAAAGCTAGAGAATAAGAAACAAAAGGACCAGAGGTACAGAAAGAAAAGCCAGTAAGACATTTTTTTTCAGTGTATGTGCTGCTGAAGCGAGCACAAGCCAGTAAGACGAAACAAATGTAAGCAAGGAAGACACCTAGAAGGACTGCTGAAGCAAGAGGCAAAGTATGAGATAAAGAGAGAGTGACAGAAGGAAAACAGAATTAGCAGAAAATACAGTTTTCTGTCTTTGGGAATTTAGGGTAGTATCCAGCCTTGGGTTTCCCACTAGGACCATGTTATGGCAATGGCTCAAAAGCTAGGCAAGGCCACGATGGTCTGTATTCATGCCAAGGCCTCTGTGGGCTTCCACACCCTCTGCTGAAAGCTAAGCCTACCTTTGAGCTCTGCCATCCGACTCCCCTGATCCTCTCCCTTGGTCATGGCAGACAGGGGAGTTTTGCCATCAATCATATCCATTTTGATCATGCCCAGGTTAGTCAGGAGCAGCATTGGATCGATCCCCTGACCACTGCTTTTAATATTCTCCAGTACTTTAAGACACTTGTATGACTTGAGTTCACTTATATTTTCTTCCAAGAAAAGGTTATAGAGGCTCAAGTCATTGTACCCTTCGGATTTGAAATGCAGAACATCAAAAGTAGGCAGGATTTCATATACTGTGAGAACATCTGTCTTCTGTCGGAATGGAACAAACAGTGTGTAGATGACCACAGGTGTCAGCAGAACATACACCACAAGGTTAATGAAGCTGAGCAATTGGAAGATGCCAACAGCAATGAGTTTGCACTGAAACCGATCAGGAACAGTGCTGTCATTTCTCAAGATCCCCGATTTGATGCTGCAGACAAATTCATCCGAGAGTGAAGACAGGCTAAAGTAATAGCACAGATAGACACACGCTAACACTATGATGGTGAGTGTTGCCAGCCGGCAGCCAATGTACTTGAGGATTAAATTATTGGAGTTCTTCTTTGTCTTCAAATACTGTTCTACAATTGGGTACTTGAAATGGCTTTCAGATATCTCCCACAAACTAAAAAGAAGGGGAAACAAAAATAATTTATACCATTACAAAGACCATCAAATATTAAGACAGTACCACATCCAACAATATCACACCAAAAATTTCAAACACCTATACTCTTCTACCTATAATTTCATTAGAGTACTAGGGGATAAAATCAGGCTTCCAAAAAAAAGAGGAAGCAAAGCAACAATAAAACACTTTTCCCTTTATAGTTTAAAGTAAATTAAATAAATATTTAGAGATTCTTAGAACAATGTCTGGCTCCTAGCATTAAACGTTTGTTAAATAAATACATCAGTTCCTGAATATAAACTGTTGCTTGTTTTGTTTACCCTACAATTTTCCACTAAAGTATGCAGTGTAAGATAAAGAAATTTTCAGCCCAACTGGAAGACAAATGCCTTCTATAGGCAAGTGCTGAGGGTACTCACAGGTGTGGGCAAGGGTAGGGAGCTACACAAACATGAAGCAGGTCCCAGTTCTCCCACTTAGAGCTACTAGAAAGTTTTTATTCAGGAAAGAAGGGAAAGCGGAAGTAAACAAATACAATTAGTTAATAATGTTCTAGAGTTAGATTAAATAATGTATTCATGTAACTCAGCAGAGCATCTGGGAAATACTAAGTATTTTTAAATGATTGCAATTAACATTATTATTATTATTACTGTCAATAAACCAGAGGAAAAATGTGGAAGGCACAGCAGTAACTACTCATTGCCCATTTGATTCACATTCTTTCTGCAAGCTTGGTTGCTTCAAAATCCTGTGCTTTCCCATTAATGAAGGGCATCAAAGCAAGCTCCTCACCCTGTCATCCCGGTAAGAATTTCCCAAGATGAGATGGTGAAATTTTACTCAACTAGGAAAGGTGTCTTGATGGAAGGACAGGTGCTGGGCAGGGTAGGATGGGGTGAGTTGTAGAGATCAGAGCTCCTGACTGTCACTACATGGATGATGTCCTTCCTCTCCATTCTACTAGCATTAAAAGCTCTAGGCCCAGACTGGCAAGAAGAAAGGCAGAGAACGAACTAAAACACCTGTCCAGCTACCTGATGGGGCCAAGTTACCTCTGCCCTGCATTCTCGCTGACACCTGGAACTGCGTAGGCACCATCTCTCAGGTCAAGGTCACGGGCACTCTTTGCAGCCTTAATTGCACGGTTGTAAACTTTGTCAAGTTCTTCCATGATAAACTTCAAGTCGGAACAAATATGAGGAGCGGCTGCTAGACGCCAGAAAAGGGGTGGCAGGTACAGGAGGATGGCAAATAGTAACAGGATGTAGGGGAAAAACTGAAAAACAAGAGAACAAATCATAAAGTTAACAGGGCCCTTCCCCACACTGCAGTAACCTAACTCTGCTAAAGGTTGTACCCATTTCTTATCATTTTAAGACAAATGTGTGTGCCCATGTCACTTGTAGAAACTAGGCTCATTATTGAATAACTACGGCTCATGGCTCCACTGTCCTGCCCAGGGAGCTAAGCAAGACCTGGTAACTGCCTTTTTAAATCCAATATACATTAATTTGAAGTAACTGGTAACTACATGGGGACATACACTATTTCCTTTCTAATCAAAGAAAAAAACATAAAATCACTCCCATGCCCTACAGAACAATCTCAGAACAAAATCCCAATTAAGAAACAAGTATATGTCACAATGGTCTTTGCTGTTTTTTTTTAATTGTGGTTTTAAGCAACAACTAAGGCTGAAAACTCTGATATTTTTTCTCTCTTGAATTTCACTTCACCCAAAAGAGATTAGAAAAAATTTTGGCTTCAGTGATTCAGTAATGATCCCAATAAAACAGCTGGAATAAGCAAATAAAATTCACAGAATGTGAAAGGACCATCAGTGCTGGAACAGATTTCACAGCTGAAGAATCTGAAATCCAGAGACGCCAACCACAAAAGGCAGCAGAGTCATGAAGAGGGCACCTGAGACCGATGCAAACCCGAAGCAGACAAGAGAGGATTTGGAAGTCAAGGAGAGTGAAGGTCAACTTGGAACGTGTCCACTGGGTGGGTGGGTGGACCCATTCTAGGTGCTCAAGAATAACTCCAACTGCAGCCAGCACTGAGCTCCATGTAAGCTCAGCTTTGCAGCCATAGGCAGTGAGGTTGAGGAGCCTCTGTACTTGTTTTCCTTACCTATGAAATGGTCATGTCATCCAGGGGTCATGGAGATTAAATCATACCCTCCACGAATAATGCTTGGTGTGGTACCTGTCACTAAAACATACCAGGTAAAGCGAGCAAAAGGGCTACCTAGGTGGGCATGTTACAAGGCCTGTGTGGATGGCTCCTTTCTACAAAAGGGAAGAAAAAGCTCAAAGCAGTTTCTGTCCCCAGAGCACGAAGGCGGCAAGTGACAGCGTCAGAATATGAGCCAGATCTCTGTGACCCCGAGCAACGCCTTTTCCGTACCAATGCACTCTGCACTGCTCCACACTGGCTATGCTTCTCCTTTCCGTCTGACTGGCTGAGCACCACAGTTTTTTGGAGTGGTAACAAAGAGGCATGATGGCCTTGAGCTGATACAGAACCCCTACCCAAAACATCTCTGGGAGAGGTCACAGAGCCTAGTCTATGGCTCTCACGGTACTGCAGACCACGCCACAAAACCCATCCTCACCTGGCTCCACTGCCGTGAGCACCTGGCATTCCCTGGCATACACATCTCGACTGAGAAATTGACAATGACACACTGTGAACTAGACTCCAGACTTTTATCTGAACTTTATCAGTTTTTCCACTGTTGTCCTCCTTCTGTTCTAGGTCCCAGTCTGGGTACCTATTTCAGTTAGTTGTCATATGTGTCCCTGGTTCCCTCAGTTTTGGTAAAATTCCTTAGTCTTTCCTTGCTTGTACAACTGAATTGCACACTTCCCAGGTGTATTGTGTAAGACTCACCTGGTCAGATATGAATGAATCTGACTGACAAATGTATTCCCAAACGACACTCATTTGTAAGTCAGGGACTTTCTACAAAAGTTACTGAAATATTAAAAAACAACTTTACATGAAGTCCCACATTAACATATTAAAGAGGAGCAACTGATGGTCTAATCTTAATCTTGAGGTAGTGAAGAGTACATAATATTCAAGATACCTGCAAGTTACATGGGTGACAATAGCACTATGGACTGTTGGCCATATACAATTATTTTAATGTTAAGTTTTAGTAAGAGTTGAGTGGAAAGGCTGTCAAGTATTTTCCTATTCCAGTTCACAGACCTCCTGACACTATTAGGATCCACATTAGGAACCCCTGCCCCAGAAAAAAGAGAAAAATAAATAAAAATGACCCCAAAACTCTGTACAGCTCTCTCTCATCAATAGCTTTACTCTGGGTCCTGCATGGGCTAGGGCATCATAAAATGACTAACCCCGTGTGCAGAGATCTGATATGAGCAATGACATATGCAACAGGCTGTGATTAGCTGAATTCTGGCTATAAAAATCACAGTTGCATACAAAAGAAGCCAAGTTCTTTAATCCCTGCTCACCCTGACAGTTGTCCTTTATATGAAAATGGAGCTGCCTAAGGAGCCTGTACTGCTTCATAACCAAGAGAGTCGGCCATTTCCTCTGGAGACCATGGGGGTGAAATTATTTCTAACTTAGGTTTATGAAGTATTTTTATAATCGCTTTTGTTTCAAAGCTATTTGACTGACATTTTACCTCAAACTGTTCCCCTAAATTAAAAAGTGACTGTTCATGTTCGATGACAAGCTTTCCAACACGTCTGAGCAAAGCAATACTCGGTACCAGTGAACAGTTCAGTACAGCTCACTGTAATTACAAAAGCACATGTTTAAAGGTCTTTATGTATGGAGTGGTCTTTTTCCTAAAACATCCTCATACCCTGGTCTCCTCTATAGGAGTGTTAGCTGAATGCCCCATTTCTTCTTTACCTCGAGTTAAACTTCCCCCCTCCATCAAAAATGAAAAGGCCACTTTCACTGAGTCTTTAACAAGGTAATAAAATCAATATGACCAAAATAGGAATCAACAAAGAATCAAATTACAGCCTTTACAACTGTTCTATCCAAATGCAAAACACAGACCCTACTGGACAGCAGCAGCTTCGTCCTTACGCTCTGTCCACGCCAGGCGAGCCTGAGATGCTCGGCATCTCTCAGTGCCACGAGCCTCTGTGCTGTACAAGGGCCCCGCTAGCACTGAGCTCTTCCAAGGGGGTGAGACGTTTCAAAGCAGAGTGGAACCAGGCAGTTTTTTCCAACCACAATTTTCAGCCTATCTGCCTTAAAACTTTGTGCTGTTTCTATCGAGAAGGAGCTGCAGTGAGAACAGCAGAACCTCTGGGTGGAAGGAGACAGGACGGTGACCGGATGCCACCTCCTTCCAAAGTTAGGTTCTTCTACCTCTTTATGGCAGAGAATTATCTATGCAGGGCAGCACAGCTCCCTGAAATGTATGTGATCTTGTTTTATGGGGTTAAATGCAGGTGTGTGAACTCATTCCTGGGCACCTGCTTTGTAACAGGCAGCAGGCTGAATGCATGTCCCCACAAATTAAGTACATAATCTTCACCAAGATCACAAAGTCCTAATGATTATCCAAACATGGATACTAGAACCATAGCGTAAGTTATGTTCTGAGCACAGAGGAAATAGAATCACTCCCTCAAGAGGAGAGTCACACAAGAAATAACACCTAACCAATGTTCCAAAGTGCAAAGAGGTAATAAAAATAAAAACAAAGTCAGATATGGTTGTGTACACCTGTAATCCCAGCACTCTGGGAGGCTGAGGCAGGAGGATCACAAGCCCAAGCTCAGCTAGAATGACTAAGACAGATCCTGTCTCAAAATTAAAAAATAAGGGGGGGATGTAGCTCAAGTCAAAGGCTTTGTGATCAATCCCCAGTACTGTAAAAACCAAATCAAACCTTAATTATTTTAAGACTCAGTTCTATTTTCGGCTCCTCTGTGGCCCTGGAAGAATCCATTTTCCTGCACTTCAAGGCCTTTTGTCCTCGTCTGCCAGTGAATTCTCAGCCACGTATGGCAGTAGGGTGAATAGACCAGCCTGTGAGGGAGGAAGGAGAGAGCTATGGCTGGAGGGATGCACTGGGTTGAATGGAGGGATGCACTGGGTTGAACAATATCCTTGAAAAACTCCAGTCCACCTGCAACTTCAGAAAGTGCTAATCATCTGGGATGGGACCTCTGCGGACATAGTTAAGATGAGGTCAGATAAATTAGGATAGGCAGTGATCCAATGACTCACTGTCCCTATAAGAAGCTTATGTGAAGACACAGACACAGAGGAGAAGCTGTTTGAAGAAAGAGACTGGAGAAACATATACAATGTCAGGACCCGCCAGGCTGGCAACCACCAGAATCCAGGAGACCAACAGAAGCCAGGCGACCTGCAGCGGAGATCAACCTGCCAACACCTTCCTTCTGGACTTCTGGCTTCCAGAACTATGAAGGAACACACTCCTACTGTGTCATTTGCCACTGTTTACGGCAATTTGTTACAACAGCTCTGGGAAACTCAGGGGCTCAATTATGAAGGGACCAAATTCCCACATGACACGATAGGAAGCCACAGTGGAAGGCTTCATCAAATTTACATGAGAAATCACTAATCAGCAGAGAGGAAACACAGGGGAGAGGAGGCAAGGCAGGAGGCCAGGGCAGCAGAAAGGCTAAGAGGGATGGAAGCAAGGAAGATGGCAGCAGTGGAGAGAAGGACACACATTTCAGATGGGAAAGCATCACCAGGCCGACGGCCATGAACTCTGCCTCACTGTTCCCCTGGTTTCAGCTCAACTCAAATGTTCCTGCTTGACACAGAGCACTTGAGGCCTAAGCCGGCGCCTGTGTGGGGTGTATCTCTTCTCTCTGGCTCTTTCCTTCTCTCTGCTTCCTGGCTGCCAGGAGCAGCTTTCCAAGGCTGTACCCTTCTGTCATGCTGTTTCTGCCTTGAAATATGCAAGGACTGAATCCTCTGAAATTGTGAACCAAAATAAGTCTCTCCTCTTAAGTTTCAGGTGTTGGGTGCTTTGTCCCAGCAACTGCAAACAAACTAACACCATTGGAAAAGAATGGTCAGAAAGGAGGAAGTAGGTAAACCAGGAACACAGAGTTGGGGAAATGAAATTAAAAAAGGCATAAAGGATGTCTCTTCTGGCTCTGTGCTGTTCAAATAACCCACTTAAGGACAATGCCAGATATGGGAAATGAGAAGAGTGAAGCGTCGCTCCAGACAGGTAATGCATCTCCCAGGCATTTTCAAGAGGCAGATAACAGATAGCAC